GGTGCTTTTCAGAAGAGCCAGGAGGGTGGTGGCCTCTGGGAGAGGGTGGGAGACTGAGGTCGGAGACTGAGCAGGGCCTGGTGATGGGAAGGGGGGGTGACATTCTGAAAGCAGGTGGAAGCCCTTTGGGCATTTTAAGCAGGGGTGTGGCATATCCAGTTTATACTTACAAAAAGATCACACTCAGAAGGAGGAACGTCTGGGCATCGCCCAACCAATTGGGATGTGATTGTGGTAATGCAGGAGGGTGGAGGCTGGGACTAGGGTGAAAGAAGTGGAAGTGATTTTAAAAATCTTCTGGCAGGGTGCAGTGCCTATAGTCTCAGCACTTTGGGAGGCTGAGCCAGGAGGATCACTTGAGGCCAGGAGTTGGAGACCAACCTGGGCAACATAGCCAGACCCCTTCTCTACAAAAAATAAAAAAATTAGCCAGGTGTGGTGGTGTGTGCTTGTGGTCCCAGCTACTCAGGAGGATAGCTTGAGCCCAGGGGTTTGAGGCTACAGTGAGCTATGATCACGACAGTGCACTCCAGCCTGGGTGACAGAGTGAGACCCTGTCTCAAAAAAAAAGAAAGAAAAGAAGAGAAGAGAGAAAAGAAAAGGAGAGGAGAGGAGGAGGAGGAAGAAGAGGGGGAGGAGGGGGAGGGGAAGAGGAAGAGGAAAGGGATTTTCTGGAATAAGGACCAGTAACACTGGGCTTGGGTTGGAGATGGGGAATGAGGAAGAGGATGGTGCAGAGAATCACTCCCAGGTTTTGTTTCCTGGAATGAGGAAGACTGGCATAGGAGCAAGTTCTCTGGGGCTGGATTTGGTTGAACTTAACAGACAGGATTCTGGATTGTGAAGAACCCAAGTTTTGGTTTGTGAATTTTCATTATTCAACTCAAATACCTTTTTAAAATGATTGATTGTTGGATTGATTCATGGATTGACAAGGTCTCACTCTGTCACCCAGGCTGGAGTGCAGTGGTATCATCATAGCTCACTGCAGCCTCCAACTCCTGGGCTAAGCGATCCTCCCGCCTCAGCCTCCCACTTCCAGTCAGCTGTCACCTCCTGCCAGGTGTCTTCTGACAGTTTCTCTTTCCAACTTTGCTTCCTACCTCCCGCTGCACGCTTAAGGCTGTCCTCCTCCTGGCCTGGGCTTTACAAGCCTCCTGAGGGAATGTGCGTCGTGCCTGCTAATCCAGCTGCTCATTCCTCACACCCCCTCTTTATCGTAACGGTCAAGGTCTTCTAGTCATTCTGATACCGTCTTCTTTACGGCAGCAAAAGGACAGTTACAGGGAGTAACCTCAAGTGGCATGCATGCCCCCCCAGTCTGCATTCTTGGGGTGGTGTCATGATGGTGAGTCACTGCAGTGTTCCACAGACCCCCTTTCTGCATGGCGAGTCTTGGGGGTCGTCATCACCAGTAAATACCGCCAAGTCCTAGCAAACTTGGCCAGTTCACTAATCTGGATGATTCAGAAAATCAGGATCAAGAAATGGAAGTTACATAGCAACTGCCAGCACTGCTAACACCAAACAAAGACAGCCAGGCCAAGTGAATCCTGGGACCGAATGAGAGGAGGGAAGAACACAAACGGCAGAATTGTTAGGGAGGGACTGAAGCTGGCGCAGGAAGTGGCTGGCCTGCCACACCAGGAAAGGGAACAGCTGCAGCTAAGCTTGCTGTTTTATTTTTGTTGTCTGTAAGTGCATTACAGCCGTGATAAAATTTATAGCTTGCAATTTGTTTTCACATACTGCTGCGTTCCTGAGAAACCATTTATAAAACCTGCTTTTTCTCTATTCTGTCAACTTCAGGAAAACTGAACTTCCAAAAAAAAAGTCTTTTTAACTTCTCCTAAACAAAACGTTACACAATCCAAGCCATATTGAAATAAATACTCTAGCCTAGAATTTATGCTCAAGGACAACTTGTTATGGAGGTTGTGTACTTAGAGCACATTTTGTAAGAGTGGAAACATACAGAGGAGGCGCAGAGCCTTTTCAGATGTTTGTATATATATTTTTGTCCTGCTCTATGCCCGTGTAAATAATCCTGATTCAACAGCGTTCCAAGGCGATTGGTACAAAATGCCACGGCCACTTTCCAAAACCATTCTTTTGTGTAAGTACGTTTAACGTTTCAGTAAGTTCTGAATACCCCAGGCCACAGATCGGAGCTCATGTACTGGTTTCACGCTCTTTCTTCCCTCTTTGTTCGAAAAGTGCTTGCCTCATGCTCACTCCCTGGCTTTCCTCTGTCTCTGATTGAAAGTGGAAGTACTTCCTTTCTTCTCACGCCGTTTGAAGTTGCAACGTGTGTGACTCATCCCAGGCTGAGAGTTTTGTAGATGAGCAGGGTGGGTCCCCAGCTACTAGCTGAACCCTGAGAATCGACTGTGGCCGTAGCCATGAACACTGGCCCTTGTCCCCATGCAAAACCCACTGAGCCAGGACGGGGACCAGGACTGGTGGCCACACCCCTCGGCCATTAGCTCCTCCCATATAGTAGTGGCCGTGTATACATTGCATGCTGGCAAATTCCTTTCTCATATGCTTTCTATTTTATTTTTTAAAATTGTATTGCTAATCTTCTCTGTATCATCCCAGTTTTAGTAAATATGCTGCCAAAGCGAGCACATCATACTCTTTTTATAGGTGAGGCAAGGAAGGCTCGGAGATTTTAAGTAATTTGCCCGAGCTCGCTGAACTGGAACATTGACTCTCTCAAGTCTCAGAACTCTTTCTACTGAAAGAGAAAGATGAAGTCTGAGGAAACCACGGTGATTCTGTCTTTGAGAAATGTTTTATTCTAATAAGTAAGATTTTGGATATTCTGAAGATAAAAGAACCTGGCAGCCCCGAGAAGACAAGAATACAAAGGGCGAAGTTGTTGGGGAGGTGAATCACGGAAGCCCGAGAAGCCGGGTTCAACAACTGATGCAAAATGCTGCTGAGAGTTTGAAACGTGTGAGGGGGCGTCTCCTTGAGATGAGACCGGGCCTTACTCAGTTTCGCATCCCAGACATTGTCGCTCGCTGTCTGCTTAGGAAGGAATGAGAGGCAGGAAGGAGGGAGGAAGGGTGTGGACTGGCCTCCCTGGCATCCTGTTTGCTCTTTATATGCTCTTTGTTTCTAGGTGTTCACTGTGCTTTCGTTACCTTAATGAATATCTTATATACAAACCTTTTCCTTAATTTGGGTACTTTTCGTAGAAAAAAAATCATGAAAATTTAAGAGGCATGGGAAGTCAGTCATGGAAAGGAGGGATAAAAGGCTACTGCCATTTTGCTAACAGTACAGTTAACATAAGAACTCTTTATACTGATGAGTACGCAGTTCTCATCCCTTCTTTAACTAGGGCAACAGCTGTACCAATCAGAATTATAATTTTATCTAAAAATATTTCAGGTACAGAAGCAAAAGTCCCTATTGCAGTGTGTAACACACTCAGGAGGCACCTGAAATATTACTGATTTAAATAGCGATGTAACTTGACACTGTGATCCCTCCAATGATTCATTGCTGTGCTCATCACTTTCTTTTAAGTGACACTTTATTGGCAAGGTCGGACTTGAATAAATCTTTGAAGAACACTGTTGGTCGTGGAGGACTTCCTTGTCAATTTATCACACTAGGTGGACAAAATAGAAGAGACATTTTGTTTACCTCTTTTTAATGGTGACAAATTAAAAAAATAGCATGTCCAGAAGAGGAATATACAAAGTTACCATCTCGTTTGCTTTTGGATTAAGACTGAACTGTTTTGAGAATGGCCTGCAAATGTTCGTAGATGCCCGTTGGCTGCACAAATGGCAAGAACCATAGCTATAGAACTTAACTACAGATTTGTTCGTTTGCTCTATCGTCAGATAAAGATCTCTACTATTAATTTTGAATTCAAGGTAAACGCCAGCGATCTTAATCTTCATGCTCGAGCTTTGAGGCATGTCCATACCATCCAGTCTACACAATGCATTAATACTTTCTAATCAACTCTTCCTGCCCCTTGTGGAAATGCACCTATGCCAGGGTATTTTGACTCTATATGGTCCTTAGGTAACATCCACTTGTATGAAAAGACTTTGTCTTTGGAACCAGTTTCCCTTCCATTTCTCATTACTACTTACTTAGTGAACTAATATACTAATTAGCCAGTTTTTTTGTTGTTTTTTTTTTTGTTTTTTTGTTTTGAGACAGAGTCTCACTGTGTTGCCCGGGCTAGAGTGCTGTGGCGTCATCCTAGCTCACAGCAACCTCAAACTCCTGGGCTCAAGCGATCCTTCTGCCTCAGCCTCCTGAGTAGCTGGGACTACAGGCATGCGCCACCATGCCCAGCTAATTTTTTCTATGTATTTTTAGTTGTCCAATTAATTTCTTTCTATTTTTAGTAGAGACAGGGTCTCGCTCTTGCTCAGGCTGGTCTCGAACTCCTGAGCTCAAACAATCCGCCCGCCTCGGCCTCCCAGAGTGCTAGGATTACAGGCATGAGCCACCGCGCCTGGCCAGCCAGTTTTTTAAAAATCCTCATTTTAGAGCTAGTGTTTCATGCCTTTTTCAAAGGGGAGAGAAAAGTAGGGTAGAGAACTAATGTGCTGCAGGAGGAGGAACACACGACTTGGGATCCGTCAGAAAGTCAAGACGTAGGTTACGATCAAAGAACCGTACGGCTTATTATTGATGTGCCCATTAGCAGAGCGCCTTCATTCTGAGTTACAGTAAAGTGGTGATCACAACGGCTGTGACGCCAGCTTCACAGGGTTGGGTGAGGACGATAAGTGTGAAAATCTTTGAAAACTTGAGGATCTAAGGTTGTTATTTCCAGATTCCATTGTTTTTTTTTTTTAAAAGCTTTACTGAGATAAAATTCACATACTTAATACATTTCACCCATTTCAAGCGTACACTTCAGTGGTTTTTAGTATATTCACAGATATGTGCAACCATCGGCACAGTCAATTTTAGAATATTTTTATCATCTTGAAAAGAAACCCATACCCTTCAATTATCACTTCCTGGCCCCCTCCACTGCCTTTTTAATTTTTATTTTGTGTTTATTTATAGAGACTCTAGGATAATTTTTTAAATTAAATTGAGTAAAAATAAGATTACTTGTGGACGACATGAGAATACTATGAAGAGCAAACTGTAGGGCTTCCCGGTTAATGATCTAAGTGCGTTGGCAGGATGAGGGATGATGAGCTAAGTGTTAATAAATGATACTACTAGGAAGAGTACAATTCCCAGTCGTGTCTATTTTAAGAAGCAGAAAAGATGGCGAGTACTCACTGTTACTATCACACTGAAGTCGCAGGCACTCCCCGCACGCAGGCTGGGGCGGAGTGGGTGCCGGGATGAGCAGAGAGGGTGGGTGCGCTGCCCCCGAGAAGCAGGTCTTCCCAGCCCAGGAAATCCACACTGTACTTTCTTACCTGTCCCTCAACTTTATAAACATGAAATGACTTCATGCAGCAGAGATGGGAAGGAAAGAGGACGGCTGGATGGAAGAAAAGAAGGAAGGGAGGGAGGGAAGGAGAAAGGAGCCACTCTGGGAGCTCCTCTGATATTTTGTGCAACCCAAACATTAAGTTGACGTGTTGAAACAGGGTGAAAATCTGCACGCGTAGTGTTGACTGGGGAAAAGGAACTCAAGCGTGGCCTCCTTTCTCTTCCAGGCCGCCAGATCCCACCCTTGGACCCCCATGAAAACGGAAACAGTGGGACGATCAAACTTGTGAAGCCGGGCGCACAAGCCAGCCGGCGGTGCTGTTAACCCAGGGGCCACGGTGCTTGAAGAAGCCGGAGCCCACGCCCCTGTGCGCTGCCGAAGGACCCCACGCTCGGTGGCCTGCACCTTGCTTTGAGAAGAGTGAGCACCCTGGCTTTGCATCCTGGAAGCTCTGCTGGAGCAGAGCAGGAAATGCCCCCCAAAAAGGAATTTGGAAAACTCTGGAAAAACCCACTATACCGTCACAAAATGGCCTTTAGTGCGTGAAATGCACATGGGAGGATTTGTACTTATTAGGTAATAAGTATAGTTGCATTTTTTTGTTAAAAACCTTAAAAAATTCTTGGATTTGTACAAAAGTCTTGCTGCCTTATGTGTATGGGATTCTAACGTGGTGTTCCACTTGGATGTCCTGTTTACCTAGCCAAACTTCAGTAACTTCTTCAGTGCCATTGCCTTTGCTACCTAACCGACCTTCACTGGAGGGAAATTTAATTTAGAAAGTTAGTTTTTAGCTAGCTTTGGAAGTAAGCCTTTATTTATTACTTTTCTGAAGGAAATCAGAGAAGTGTAATTGGACCATTGCTCGGACTGAGACTTGAGCTATTATAAAAGAGGAGAGAGATGTATTAGAAACTGTTGTCTACATCTCTTTTAATTGGTGGACATTTTTCTAAGTTTTAGCCATATATAAACAAACCAAATTGGACTAAATACAATATTGCATATAATTCTGGGATTGGGAAGCCTAGTTTGAAAGAGTCATTTAAGCAATGACTGTGTAAGCGGTGATAAATGTAGGATATAAATATTATTCAAGAAACCACCTGACATGCATCACCAGCATACTAATAAATTCCTACTCTCTTAGGTAAGTTTATGCACTTAGTATTATTTTACTAAGAGAATAATCATGGTGTTATATCTAGGGAAAAAAATTAACTGGAATTATTAATAAATGTAATGTTTGAGTCTAAATCTTAGGGCAAACTTCTAATAATAGCAGTTAGTAATAGGTTACAGGAAAGCCAGCCAGAGGAAGTATCAGCACCTTAAAATCCTAGACCCAGAAAACTGCAAAATCAGAGAAGGCGTTTTAGATGTTGCCAGGCTGGGGAGGAGGTCTGGGCCTGGAGTCCAGTGAACTGAGGATGGGCTTCCATGAGAACCTTCCTTTTCGGATTCCCTGTCTGTTCAGTTAGTTAAACATGTCTGAGTCCAAAGGCAGTAAGGAAAGAAAAAGCAGGGAAAGGAAGAAAAGCGATTTCCGTTGAAAATTCAAATCCTATTACCATTCTAACTTTCATAAAAACTTGGGATCAAGAAGCAGTTGATCTCCTGTCAGGGCCCATATTGGGAGGCGGTTCTTAAAGGCTGTTAGGATCAGTGCTCAGAAACGCTCATCAGCAGTGTGCTAACAGGGGCCAGCCAGCACCTGCTTTGCCATGACCAGTCAAGGGCCAGCAAACCTTCGCTGACAACCTGCCACGTGAAAGTCAGGAAGAGCTGTGAGCTGATTAAAGACCCAGCACTTAACTCAGCAGGAGCTGGGGCTGTGGAGCCATTGGGGGCTGCCCCCACCCGCTCAGAGCCAGGTTTACACTTTCTTTATGTTGACTGTAACCAAGGAAACAGGGCCAGGTTGAAATACAGGTCCATGTCTTTCAACTCAAAACTGTGCTGTCAAATTGATGTTCTTCCTGCTTCACCCAACTTGTGAGTGTTGATTGACAATCTTAGGATGTGAAGGCTGGAAAACATTTATTTTGTTTCAAGAGTTCCACTTGGCTCTCCCAGACAGGTAGCTCAAAAACTGCTGGCAAGTGGCATTTGGATGTCCTAGCAGGGCCTTTCCAAGGATTTTTAGGGTTTTTTCCCCACATTATCCACATTATTGGCTTGACATGATTCTGCTTTGAAGGCCAAGAAATAATCTTACCTCTTGCCAAAGGTAAAAAAATTTGAGTTGAAAATTGAAGTGACCTCTATCCAGGCGACATTCAGACTTATTTTTGTACCTTTCCCTAAGAACCTGGGTTTATCTCCACACAGCTGCTCGGGTTTCCCAGCTAAGGTGGTAGGCATCCCAGCAGAGAGTTTCGCAGCTTTGGGCTGGGTTTGCAGTGGTTGTATTTTGCATAAAATGTCCAGTCTTAACCATATGTAGTGAGCTACCCGCTAATGAGCCCATGGTTTTATTTCAGAAGCACATGAGGGTGTGAAGCCACTCTTTTCCCTTTCTGTATTGCCTTAGCTACTCAAGCCAGTCAGAGGACAAAAAATACATACATGCATCATCACCATTCGCAGCAGTCAGCCAAGAGGGCAGATCACACTTGCGCGTGCGAGTATTCACACAGACATTGAGCCTTCTCTGAAGACAGGTGCTCAGGCCTTGTCCACAAGGAGGTTTTCCTACTGTGCTTTATTTTTAGCTTGAAATTACTTTCTGGCTACTCTAATAATTGAACCATAACCAAGTAATATGATGTAAAGACCTGGAAATTACCGTTGCTAAAAAATGTCAAGTAGTTTCACGTGCTGTAGCATCCTTGACATCATTTTCCAAAATTTGCTCCTTTTCCCTTGTTTTCTTTCATATGTGTGTAAATGTGTAAATATGATTATATATTTGTTGCGCTGATGTGTAATCCATTCCACTGGCTGAGTTTGGCTCATGGCTGTGTGCTATATAAGGTAGGCATGGACTCTCAGAGGGACGATTTCCCAGTGGAAATCTCTAGAATGGAGTCATGCAAACATTTTAAAACATTTTATGTAGGTACGTAATCGACTTGCCATTTTATGGTTAAATACGGTACGTTAAAGTGCTGAACATGACTTTACCTTGCAGACTAAAAGGTTGGAAACCTAAAACTAACTGTTACCCAACAAAAAGGGCTGTGCCCCACTGAAAACTGAGTTCATTTTCTGAGGGAGGTTTGGACGACTGAAATATTTCCTCTACAATCAAGGATTTTGTCATGTGATGACTGAAATTGAGTTTCCTTTTCTTCTTTGTTTTTTTGTGTGTGTGTGTGGGTTCTACTTCCCACTGCTCTGTGACGCTCTTGGCAAGTCCAGCGATGAGCTAGCTTATGAACTACAGGGCTCTGGGCTGTATTCAGACCTATTAGGTTTCAAGTTTACTCTTTTAACATCATTGTTGAAACCACACCCAGTAATTCAATGGCGCTGCTCCCTTGTGCAAACTGTTCCCTTTTCTTGTGTTTTTGTAAAGGGCTTCCGTCTGGGCTGGACCCAGTTCTTGCACATAAAAGACGCTGCTGCAGACAGCTAGGGCCTTTCCACTTGTATTCTATGCTATAGTACAGCATTTCTCTCAACAATGCCCAATTGTATCTGTTATTTTTGGTTTAACACACACTGATACGTACTAATAAATATTTTAAGTTCTACCAAGTTTGTCTTTTTCTTATTATAATGTTCAGTAGAATAATTTTTTTAAAATCACAGTCAACTCGGAGTAAAGAATGATGGTTCCCCAGAGAAACGTGTGCACCTTTACATGTGAAGACATGCATAAGGATGTTCGCTGAAGCACTGTTTGCAATAGCAAAATGTTGTCTTCCACTAAGGAAATGGATCAATTAAATATGGTACCATCACATGATGAACACCACGGGGTAATTAAAATGAATGCGATATCTGTAATTCACCAATATTTAGCTCAAAAACAACGTGGAGTGCAGGGCTGCCATCCTGCTCCCCCGAAGGAGCCTCTCCCGTAGTCTGTGTGAATGGAGCCCTCAGGAACTGTGCAGTGCACAGTATGGGCAACCAGCCTGTGGCCCTGGCTGAACGAATAAAGCAAGCTGAAGAAGCACTAATGCATATCAACTTACACAAAACAATAATGTATGTTGCTTGTGAATGTTGTGTCTGTGTTAAAATAAAAGAAGAACTAGAAGGAAAAACATGAACTTCGTGATGGTCCTTGCCTGTGGGAAGGGAAGGAAGTGAATAGGATCAGGGAGGAAAACAAAGGACATTTAACTATCAGCAGTTTTTATTTACTTCATGATATAAAAATCTGAAGCCAACACAATGAAATGACAATATTTCGAAGTATGTGTTTTATTAGCCTCTGTATTTTTTTCAAAGAGAAAGGGGTATGGAGAAAAGAAACAATAAAGGATTAGGCTGACTTTCATATGCAAGAAAGATTTCCTGAGTATAACTGCCCACTCCGTGTAGCCAGAACATTCGACGAGGTGGACTCGTTCCCGCCCTTCTCCATCGCGGCCTCCGTTGCCCGCCGCCAACACGCTTTCTCAGACACGCTCTCGTGGAGCTCGCGTTTTCTCTGCAGAGCTTTGGTGTCTGGATGACATGGGAAGCAGAGGGTGGAGAAAGAAGCAGCGCCTTCGCCTTCTCTGCATCCGAGACGCTGTCTGAGGCACCTGCCGGGAGGCTGCTTCCAACATGCAACCGAACAAGGAAAAGAAACACACCATTGCCAACGAGAGACCAGGGAAAACATGCCTTTCTTTTGCATTTAGTAAGAAGCGGTTACCTATTTATGGCAACTCTGGAAGATGTTTTTGGAAATAATGCCGTGATTGGATTCAACCAGCAGACTTTGTGCAGGCCAGCCTCTTTGTCAACAGCACTGCTCGGGGGTTCCATCCCCCCACCCCCTCAGAGCTGCTCGTCCCGCACCGGGGCTGTATTTAATAGGACCCGATGGGAGCAGTTACGCACTGAGGCTGGAGGGGTCTTCATGGCGACTTGCACACTTTACCAAACAGCTCTGGCTCAAATGCTGCTTTGAACAGTCTGCAAACACTTCCTGTTCAGACAGGTATTGTCCAGAGAGCAAGACTTGCAGGTTGGAAGAGGACGGAGACTTTGCCCCAAGTTTGTGAGCATTCGTCTCCAGGAGTGTCTTCTCTCAAGTTTTCAGACATACTGTAGCAATGTGTAGTTGAACCAGCTTTTTATACCAATGTGAAGCTATCATCTACCTTCCATGCCAGTGTTCTATTAAAAAACTGAAATGATGGGGGCCGGGCGCAGTGGCTCACGCCTGCAATCCTAGCACTCTGAGAGGCAGAGGGGGGAGGATTGCTTGAGCTCAGGATTTCAAGACCAGCCTGAGCGAGACACCATCTCTACTAAATATAGAAAAATTAGCTGGGCATGATGGTGGGCGCTTGTAGTCCCAGCTACTCGGGAAGCTGAGGCAAGAGGATCGTTTGAACCCAGGAGTTTGAGGTTGCAGTGAGCTATGATGATGCCACTGCACTGTACCAGGGTGACAGAGGGAGACCTCTGTCTCAAAAAAAACAAAACTGGAAAGATAACACCAAGTATTGGTAGGTATAACTGAAAAAAATAGGCAGTCCCATACATGCTGGTTGGAGTATAAATCAGTGCAGTCTTTCTATGTAGAAAGCGGTTTGGCAGTGTATATCCAAAATATTTGAAATGATCATATCCTATGACCCACTAATTCTGTTTTTCTGTTTCTGGGAATTAATTTTAAGTATGTGTGTGTCAAATGATCATGAGCAAATGACTTGGTTTCCGTAGGCCTCAGCTTCTTCCTAAAATGGGGATGGCGCCGCATCACAGGGCTGATGTCGGGATGAGGCGAAATCCTTGTCTGCGCATCACTTGGGACCGGGAGCTTAGTGGCTGTGGTGATGCCGTGGGCTTCAACCTTTGCCGGGGAACTGGGGAGAGTTCTTTTTTCCTGTCCTCTTTCTGTTCTTTTTCTTTTTCTTCTCTTGGGAGGCAGTGTGGTGTGGAGATTAAGACATCCGGAGTCGGACCACCTGAATTCAAGCTCTGTAATTTGGTGACAGTGGGACCTTTGGCATGTTGGTCTCTCTAAGCCTCTAGTTTCATCA